ACCCACATGCTTTTTCAGCAGAGCAGATTGTGTTGTGAACATTCCGGGTTCAATACAAGTTAAGCTTTATCGACGGCATCTGTGACATGCTGTCGATTGCCACTGAAAATAATTTTGAGACACCCCTCAGCTTGTAAAAACAAGCAAAAATCATTTACATTAATGCGCTTATAGGCATAAAATACACTTTTTTTTTAATGTAGAACCACTACTGAAGATGTGCTATATTATAATCTTGTCTGTTTAAACAGATTTCTGTCATGAACTTTTAAAGCCAGTAATCCTATTAACCTTACAAGCAAAGTTGCTGGAAAGGAAGTTGTTTTTTCCGTATAGGAACTCCTATTCCTTCCACCATAGAAAAGTGAAGCCAAAGCATCTCAGTATGGCCGCTGCCATCTTGAGGAAATGACGGAGCCAGAGTCTGCACAGAAGTGTCGTGAGGTGGAGCCGCGGTATCAAACTCCCGCAGACCCAATCAACCATAACGACACGCCCCGTTATTATAGCATCAAATTACTAGCTAAAATCAAACTTATCACAAAAATGAGCAACTTAACATGTATCTGCGTGATAACTACTACCTTAAATGACCAAAACCATCTTTCGGAAAATTGTATTGGAAGTGTTATTTATTTTTTAATTTTGACTCCAGTCCCATTCGTTTACATGGAGAGGGCGGGGTTTATGACCTGTACTGCAGCCAGCCACCAGGGGGCGATCAAAGAGCCCGCAGCTTCACTTTTCAGGACGTGTGAGGCACACCTGGTAGAGATCGAGGTTTCCCTGGTAACCGCTGTACACAAAGCAGCGCTCCGCTCACAAACACTGCTTTATCAGGCATTACATGCAAGATGAAATGAAAATGACTTCCAAAATTTTCTGAAGACCGTCGGTTTCCTTCAGAAATACAGTGATATAAAAACACCCGCACCGGGTTTCGATTTTGAAACGTGCAGTGCTCATGTTTATTCAACGAAGTCAAAGCCTTTTGGAAAATCTATTTGTGGCGGTCAGTTTTGATATTGTAGCGGGCGCCACAAATAAATCAATGTATGGGAAACACTGTGACAATAGTTTTTATCAAATGAATTGATGAAATACTTGTGAAGTGACTCCTGGAGCAGCTCTGGAGATGACGTTTGTGTTCATGTTCATGTCCAATAGTCTTTTTGCAGTTTATTACTCACAAACCCTAGTCTATATCGCCATTTGATTAAGAGTACAGCCCTGCGTTTTAATTAATTCATCCAGAATTTGCCAAATTCCAAGACGGGCCACATTACACAGTCAGTTCCTTTTTTTTTTTTTTAAACTGGTTTCTGTGATTCCTTCAATGTTTTCTGCCTAAAGGAAATCATAGGGCCCTTAGTTAGTTTTTGGCAGTAGTTGTTGAGTGAGTTGTGTGAGTAAGACTGTATGTGTTGAGTCATTCAGGTTAGATGCTGTTTTCAGTTATGCAAGGACTTTAGTTAGTTTGGCCCCTGAGGGCCGATGGGATGAGTTTTGGCAAGAATGCATGTGAATGTGTGAGTTTGTATGGCGTGGAGAGGCTTTGGTTCGTACAACAGATGTGTTCTCTGCTATTTCCAGTTCTTTCCTCCAAATCCTCTCATTTTCCAAAACACTGGCCTTTTCTTTCTCTCCTGTCCGCCTTTCCTATGCTCTCTGGATTCTGGCTGATTTGGCCCTAGGCCTGTTTTGTGGTAACGGCTAAATGAGCAGTTTGTGGACGGTCACAATCCTCTTCTATTGTGAACGGACTTCTGGTCATTAAAGGATTCAGTCTCTCTCTCTCTCTCTCTCTCTCTCTCTCTCTCTCTCTCTCGCTCTCTCTCTCTCTCTCTCTCTCTCTCTCTCTCTCTCTCTCTCTCTCTCTCTCTCTCTCTCTCTCTCTCTCTCTCTCTCTCTCTCTCTCTCTCTCTCTCTCTCTCTCTCGTTCAGGCTCAAAGGTCGGATTGGCCTCCCAGCTGTCCTGAAATCAGCTCTGTAATAACTCTCCTGCATATGGCACCCATCTGATGGCATCTGAGCTTCTCAGCTGTCACTCGCTCATTCACATGCTCCCTTTCCGGTTTCATTTACACATTAATCCTTGTTTAGAGAAAATTAATCAAAACTGAATGAAAATGAGATGGAAAAAATATATTGCATCAAAAAAACTCTTTGTTTGGGCTATCAATTCAATTGTTTTCAGTGATTAACTTCTAGGGCTGGGCAAAAAAAAATATTTTTCGATAAATTGTTTTTTTTTAAATGACGTCGATTCGATATTGATTCTCAAAAGCCACCAATTGATCTTTCTCTGTATTTATTTCAGCAAATTAAATCCCATCAAAAAAGTTTGGTTTAACGTGAAGAACCTGTGACAAATATATTACTATTGTGCAGTCTTAAGACTCGATGTAACAACAATAGTACTAGTACTACTACTACTACTAATATTAATAACTTTATTTTTAAAGAAATTATCACATTTGTTTTCTTTTTAACAGTAAACCTCTGTTGTGTGGCACTTTGTTTGCAAAAAATAAAAGGGTTTAATTTTCATTTGATTAGGATAAGTTAAATAGTTTTATGCCTTGATTTGATTACCAGAAAATGTAAGAAAAATATTTTATAGGGCCCTAATGTTGTTTAAAAAAAATAGGACCCTATACAAAAAAATACAAAAAAAACCTATATTCACTGAAATCAAAATATCGAGAATCGGATCGAATTGAGAGCTTGAGAAACAGAATCGAATCGAATCGGGACATCTGAATTGATACCCAGCCCTATTAACTTCCTTCATTTGGCGTGACTATAAAATAACGCAGGCAAAATCTATTTATTTTTTTTAATTAAATGTAAAAATATAAAACTAAACTACAATAATATAGTTGTAATTGTAATATTGAGTTAATATTAACAAACATAAGCCCAGTAAGGATGAGGAGTTGAGATTTTTGCCAGTTTTTTTTTTTGTTTTGTTTTTTTGCCGGCCATAATTTTATTGCATTCCTACTAGGGCTTCACAGTTAATCGAAATAAAACCGAAATCATCATATCGTTCAGTGCAATTACTAAATCACAAAGGCTGTGTGTATTTAAATAAATAAATGTGTCATGTGTTTCATAGTGAAACGCGGCACTGTTCATACTTTAAGTATTAGTGTTATTTTCCTAAACACTCGATTTATTTATTTTATATTGAAATACTACAATAGTAATTTAATTTCTTAGTAATTTTATATTTTATTTAATATTTATTTAAAATAATATAATTTTGTTTAATAATAACAACTCTTATTATTATTCTTATTATTTCTCTCGTTCAGGCTCAAAGGTCGGATTGGCCTCCCAGCTGTCCTGAAATCAGCTCTGTAATAACTCTCCTGCATATGGCACCCATCTGATGGCATCTGAGCTTCTCAGCTGTCACTCGCTCATTCACATGCTCCCTTTCCGGTTTCATTTACACATTAATCCTTGTTTAGAGAAAATTAATCAAAACTGAATGAAAATGAGATGGAAAAAATATATTGCATCAAAAAAACTCTTTGTTTGGGCTATCAATTCAATTGTTTTCAGTGATTAACTTCTAGGGCTGGGCAAAAAAAAATATTTTTCGATAAATTGTTTTTTTTTAAATGACGTCGATTCGATATTGATTCTCAAAAGCCACCAATTGATCTTTCTCTGTATTTATTTCAGCAAATTAAATCCCATCAAAAAAGTTTGGTTTAACGTGAAGAACCTGTGACAAATATATTACTATTGTGCAGTCTTAAGACTCGATGTAACAACAATAGTACTAGTACTACTACTACTACTAATATTAATAACTTTATTTTTAAAGAAATTATCACATTTGTTTTCTTTTTAACAGTAAACCTCTGTTGTGTGGCACTTTGTTTGCAAAAAATAAAAGGGTTTAATTTTCATTTGATTAGGATAAGTTAAATAGTTTTATGCCTTGATTTGATTACCAGAAAATGTAAGAAAAATATTTTATAGGGCCCTAATGTTGTTTAAAAAAAATAGGACCCTATACAAAAAAATACAAAAAAAACCTATATTCACTGAAATCAAAATATCGAGAATCGGATCGAATTGAGAGCTTGAGAAACAGAATCGAATCGAATCGGGACATCTGAATTGATACCCAGCCCTATTAACTTCCTTCATTTGGCGTGACTATAAAATAACGCAGGCAAAATCTATTTATTTTTTTTAATTAAATGTAAAAATATAAAACTAAACTACAATAATATAGTTGTAATTGTAATATTGAGTTAATATTAACAAACATAAGCCCAGTAAGGATGAGGAGTTGAGATTTTTGCCAGTTTTTTTTTTTGTTTTGTTTTTTTGCCGGCCATAATTTTATTGCATTCCTACTAGGGCTTCACAGTTAATCGAAATAAAACCGAAATCATCATATCGTTCAGTGCAATTACTAAATCACAAAGGCTGTGTGTATTTAAATAAATAAATGTGTCATGTGTTTCATAGTGAAACGCGGCACTGTTCATACTTTAAGTATTAGTGTTATTTTCCTAAACACTCGATTTATTTATTTTATATTGAAATACTACAATAGTAATTTAATTTCTTAGTAATTTTATATTTTATTTAATATTTATTTAAAATAATATAATTTTGTTTAATAATAACAACTCTTATTATTATTCTTATTATTATTTAAAATAATTATTGTATAGCCATATTTATACTATATATAATCACAAAATTCTGCAGCCCTACAAGCAAGCACAGCAAACTTTTTTTTTAGTCACATTTTAAAATCGCAATCACAACTTTTTTCATAACATTTGGATTTTTGCCCCCCAAATATTGCCCCAAAGTCCTGCTAATTAAGTATCGTGTCGGGTTTTTCTATGCTCCTGATATTTTATTGTTCAGACAAACAAGTAGTCCCGCCCCAAACCTACACCACTGGTTGAGCCAGATCAGAGCAAAGTTTCTCAGCACCACCATGGTCAAACTCCCCAGAAATGTTAAACTCCTTCAAGAATGCAGTGAGACCTCCTGCTGTATTCTCTCTCTCTCGCTCTCGCTCTCGCTCTCGCTCTCGCTCTACTTTGAACGGGGCGGTCTGTGTGCACCAGATCTTTGTTCTGTCTCCCGGTACTGACCAGATGTCTGTTCAGATGCCACTTGCCCTATTTGTAATATGCTCATTATAGAATGCAAAAGATCATGTTGATGAATTATTGAGCTGTGTTGTCTTTTGCTGTCCCAAATTTGCAATTCTGTTTTGTTAGAGTCATTGTTTGTTGTTTGATGTTTTGCTGTTTGCATTGTACCAGCTGCATGATATTAAAGCCTCAGCTTTGCCAATAATCTGCATGTTTGTATATTTTTCAGTTGGGGAATTCGTGAGTGACGTCCTCTTGGTGCCAGAGAAGTGTAAATTCTTCCATAAGGAGCGTATGGACATGTGCGTGAGTCATCAGCAGTGGCACGGTGTGGCCAAAGAGGTACGATATCAGCATCCAGTGCCACATTAAGACACAAACTACATAATGCACATTAACACCTATTCATATACAGCACAACAAGTAATGCAAAGATGCTACCAGGGCAACAGAATAGAAATCTAATATACAGCTTTGTAAAGCCAGCATTTAGACCAATGAGATATATATGAGATATTGAACAGATATAGGGAATACAAAAGATTCAGATGGAGCCAAATCAGATTGAAATGGAATTAGATCTGCTACTCAAATTCTCATTGGTCGATGGATGTCGCTGAAACGGCTCTCAACTTTTAGCCACTGTGACGGATGAAATCTGTGTGACGAAATCATTTTTATTTTTTCCCAAATTCCATTTAGATTTTTTTGGAATAATGTGTTTTAATGGTTGAATCATATTTTAGTAATCAAAAAGTAAGTGTCTAATTAAATGAAATCATGAAATATGTACAGTTTAACAATAATTTATTAGAATTTTACTGAAAATTAATTTTTTAGGACCTTTTATCTTTTCCCCAAATTTTATTTAATTTTTGCTAAATTCCATGTTTTTGTTTTTCTGGATTCCATTTGATGGTTTAGTTCAATTTTAATAATCAGAAAGCATGTCTAATCAATAGATTCATAAAATATTGTAACATTTTAATAGTTTATAATTATTTTGTTTATTTATTTATGTTACTACTAAAATAATGCTCTCAGAAATAGTGCCCTTTCTCAGAAATTCTCTGTCTGTTCAGATTTTTCAGAATTTGATAAAACATGAACAATTAATCAGTCTTTTTTCAATGTACTGTAAGTAAATGAAAAACCAATAGTGTCGCACTCTTATTCTCTCTCTCTCAAAGTCTTTCCTGCTGAATGCTCGAGTCCTCACATTTCACTCTGATAATTGGATCAGCCGAGCTGCTGTAATACTGCTAATCTCTAGACTTCTGCCACCTCACACACACATGCACTGCTCTCCAAATCTGCTATTGAACAGTTCGTTTTACACTAGCTCACAACTCATGAATACTACTCTGCTTCTGTCTCTCGTTTTATTAACCGTCTTTCCAGTTTCCCTGCCGTCTATGCTGTCTTTTCTAATTGCTGGCATGTCCACCCCCTCAGTCCTGATTCAGCTTGAATCTTCCACACTTTGAGTTTTTGTAGAACATTTTCACAGTTTTGGCTGTGACAACTGCATTCATTTGCAGGCTTAAGTTCCTCAAGTTTTCGTTCTTTCTGTGTGTGAGGGATAAAGTAACTCCTGCTATCCTGAGCTTGCGTAACTTGGGGTCACTTACTAACTGGAAGTTTTCTTTGGGTCACTTACTAACTGGAAGTTTATGATGATGTGTGGCCAAAATGGCAAAAAAAAGAAGAAAAAACACATCAATGGAGAATCTCTTTATAATAAGGAATCAACATTTTAGACACTCATGCACTACTGTTATAGTTTGGGGTCAGTAAGTCTCTTATGCTCACCTTTATTTTAAGGGTGCATTTATTTGATAAAAAATACAGTAATATAGTATGAATTAATGAATTATTACAATAGAGTTCACCTGCTTTCTATTTTAATAGATTATAAAATGTGATTCATTCCTGTGATACATTTTCTAGCAATCATTACTCCAGTCTTCAATGATCTTTTAGAAATCAGAAATTCTGACGGTTCAGATATGCTTCAGAAATTCTTATATGCTATTCAGTTATTATTGGTGCTCAATTATTAATAATAGTGCTTATTATTATGAATGTTGAAAACAATGTTTTTGCTGCTTAATATTTTTGTGGAAATGGTGCTACTTTCTTATTTATTTTTTTTGATGGATAGGATTCTTTGATGAATAGAAAGTTACAAGGACATAATTTATATTTAATATGTAATAGAATTTCTTTTGTAACAATTGTCTTTGCTGTCACTTTTGCTTCATGACCAATTTAATGCATCCTTGCTGAATAAAGGAATTAATAAAAAATAAAAATCTTACTGACACCAAACGTTCGAATGGTAGTGTATCATTCTTGCTTAAAATTCATAAAAATGGTTTATATATTTAATAGTCATGTGGTGGTGCTAATCTTGTGAAATTAAAGTAGACACAAAAAAAAAAAAACTAGATTTTTTTTTTCTTTTTTTTCTTAAATGTTTATAACATTTTCTACATTTATTTTGTTGGGTGAAACCAAATGATAAGATTCATAACAACTGAATAAATTTGAATGAAAAAAATAATCTCAATATCAAAACTATAACGCACTAAAATGCTTTGATTGCTCGTAGTTTTAGATGTAAAAAACAAGGCATTCTTTATAAAAAGTAAAGCAAAATCTCCATATCTGTGAAGTCATTGTGAAAACTCTAGCAATGTTTTGGCATCTCACATGTCAGCATGAAATATATGTATAGCAACAGTTTTTGAGTTTTGAACTAAAGTTAGCATCCTAGACACGTATTGTCATCACTACTTCCTCGCGAATGAATTTGCAGAATGCTGTGAACTGTGGGTACAGAATAGGGTTGAGCATGTAGAAGAGGACACAACTGAGTGTGTACGTGGTCACAATGTGTGTTGGTACTGTAAATCACCCCGAGCTGCCGTCACTCATTCTCAGCGTGTGCATACTGAAAGCATCTCCGTGTGCTGACTCTACTGATCCCGGGACAGACATTTAAGAGCTCTGCTGAATTTCTTCAGGCTGTTCTTACACAGCAGACCGGCCTTTCAAAGCACATTTGTTCTAATTGAATGGGATTTCTTGACTCTCTGTAGGCCTGCTCTAAGGGGAACATGGTCCTGCACAGCTATGGCATGCTGCTGCCCTGTGGCATCGATAAGTTCCACGGCACTGAATACGTCTGCTGCCCGTCTACTCGTCCTGAAGAGCCCACACCTCCTGCTTCACCCTCTAAAGAGCTAGATGAAGAGGATGAAGACGAGGATGAGGAGGTGGAGGAGCCTGTCGTTGAGGATGAGGATGATGAAGCAGTAGAGGAGAGGTAATGTAGTGCATGTACATGTGATCCACCACGGATGATGACTGTAATAAGGATAAAGATAAAGTTTTAAAAATCATTCTAAATATAAAAGAGTAGCAGTCTACACTACAACTGCTGGGATAACAACGCAGGGGAACAATATAATTGGAATCACTTTCAGAACTGTTTTATCCAGCTGATCAACAATAAAAACGGGCATAAAAATGTTTTACCACAATTTACCTTGAACTATGAACAAGAAAACAATATCATTATGTTCACATGAAAAAGCATTTTATTGAAACTTTTACACACTGTGAAGAATATGATGAATTTAAATGCATTTACAATGAAAAAAGTACTTGTTCATGAAAGGACAAATAAAAGAAATGATCTTGCTCTATCAGTGCAGTCACAAGTGAAACTTGTTAAGTTAGTTTATATAGTTGGAAATATACAGCGATAGAGACTCGAACATGTAAGGTCACGTAGTCATTTTTAAAAAGCGTTATCTATTGATTCTACAGCTCAGTCACGTGGTGGTGCTAATCTTGTGAAATTAAATACTTCACAAATGAAATACTTAATCTTGATTTATTTATTTTTTAAATTTTTATAAAATTTTCTACATTTATTTTGTTGGGTGTATTTATATTACATACGATCTGTATATATTAACATTCATTTAAAATAAATGATTTATAATAACTGTTAAACTAAAATTGCTTGTGTGTAATGGATTAATAATAATATAAATCATATAATTATATAAATCATATAAAATAACTCTTAAGTAATTATCATTAAAGCCAGACCATTTTTTTTTTTTTTACTACTAGTGACCTTTATTTTGGAGCAAGAGAAACTGGGGGAGTGACTTTTTTGTGTCAGACATGTCACTTCTCACGGTGGAGTGTAAGTTACCATGGCAATGAACACCGCTAAAAGCCAAGCCACTTTCATGGTACCTAAAACCCAGGATTGGTGCAAACTAAACTGAAACTTACCTGGCTAGCCAGCTGATCTGGCTTCATGGTACAGGCCCCAGGTCAAGGTTATGTGTTTATATATATATATTTTTTATCTCTGATTAAAAAAATAAGAAACTTTTGAACAGTAGTGTACATTACAACTGACCTGTTACATTTAATTTTTTTACTTGTAGAATAACTGCAGTAGTACAGTAAAAAAACTGATTTTGTGTAGCATTTTATACGATTAGTTTTATTTTTATTAATAATGCCATTCTTTTCATCAACAGATTATCAGTAAAATAAGTTCCCAGGCGTGGAGGTTGAGCTCTAATTTAATCAAACTTAGTTACTGCTAAAAAACTGGCTGGCTCATAAGTCATCGTTTTTGTATTGTCAATTATTTACTCATCCAAATTTTTGGCGGAGGCACAGCCTTCTGAATCCGAACTCCCCGGCACGCTTATCAAAGGATGATGTATCAGTATGACTGTGAGCTGTCGTATCTTATCACGCTTTGAGGAGTAGTAGCTGAAGCATTGTGTGTGAGAGTGTGCGCCGTGTGAGCGTTTGTGTAGGATAAATTAGGTTGACCATCTGGATATTTTCGAGTGCCATGCCTTTGACCTCTGACAGCTGCTCGATTCACTTCCATAAATCATAAAACCTCCAACCTGTGCTCCTCCTCTCCCTCTGTTTCCTATGTTCTCCTTCCCTCTCATCCCACTGTGCTCCTGTCATTTCTTTGTCATATCTCATCCTGCTTTTTTTCCTGAATTACACTGTCCTTCATAGTTCACCTAAAAATAAACATGTCGTCATTTACTTAAGTATCGTTTATATACTATTATAACTTGTTTAAATTTTACTTTTTGTAATATTTTATTTTAAATTTGAATGTTTTTATTAATTTTGCTGTGCGCTTTTGTCATGTTATTTTTTTTTATGTCTATATATATTTTTTATTATTGTTTAGTTTGTTTTAGTAATTGTAGTACTTAAACTAAACCAAAATGAGAAATGTTACCTTGACAAATAACTGAAATATTTACATTAAAAAAAAACTGTTTTGGCTAATGTTTATTTTTTAACGTTTTTTTGTTCATGGTTGTCATTTTAGATAATGAAATTTACACTCTTCATTCAAAGCATGTCTCACTTTCTCCTATGGATCAAAAAAAGGATAAATCGTGAAAAATGTTCAAGCTGCTCATAAATGCTAATTGTTATATATATATATATATATATATATAGTTACTCTTTCAAAAGGGTACTTTGGCAGTAATACTATTTGAAATGTTGAATGGGGTGTAGATTGGGACACTACTGCTGTAGATGAATGTAAGTAAAGGCAAAAAGGCTAAGAAAAATGTAACATTACTTCAAAATCGTGTTCATTCTGTCTTTTCTTCATGTTTTTAGCGATCCTGTTGCCAACGAGCCGCCCACTCCAGAGGACACAGCTGAAGAGGAGGAGCAGGAGGACGACGGAGACGAGGAGGACTACCACTATGTGTATGAAGATGAAGAGGACGACCGAGACAGTGAGGAAAAGGACATGAAGAAAGACAAAGCTGCCATCCCTGAGAGCCAGGATGTTGACAAAACTCTGCAGGAAGTGGAAGGTCGGTATCACACTGTTTGCTACTTTTGTTTCCTTACTGCCACAGTGTGATTCATTGATACATATCTCTGGTCCTCTTCACTATAGAGGTTTACAATTATTGACTTTTATTTTAAGAAATAATGTAAAAAAAATAAAATTAAATGTATGCATTTTTTTGTTTGGCATTGTCTATACATCCTATATAGTGCAACAGTCGGGGTCTAGAAATAAAAAATCTCATTAATTTTTTCCATAGAGAAATAGCTATACTTTATTTTATCAGTAATGTAAATGCCTTGCAAGAAAGATTAAGAAAATATGCGACTCTGTTAAAGCCACATCGATGTGATTGACTTTTTTTTTTTTTTTTTAAATCTGCACGCTATAGCCAGAATTACATTACCCAGAATCCTGATAAAGATGAATGCACCAATCAGAGAAGTCGCTGTTGCCATGGAAACAAAATTATGGTGGGAAATGAAGGACTGTCTGGTTCTCTCAGAATCAGGGGAATTAAAAAGTCATCTCTTGAGTCGTAGTTCTTCTCTGTGGGAAGCTTATTCTTCTCTTTGGTCTGATCTTAGTTGTGTCATTTTCTCGGCTGCTCCTCCTTTGCTCCTCTGGACCTGTCTGTTGGTCTGTCTATCTATTTGTTTCTCTGTGTAAATGTTTAAAAAAGTCTCTCTAGCTCTGTTACAAAAGATAGTGAGCTCCTTAAATGTCTGCTGGCTACCTAGAAGCCTCCTAACCGTCATAGGAGCCTTATAAGTGACTGATTTGGAACACTTGGCTAATGGTCACTCATGCACCACTCGAATAGTACTCCTCAATTTAACCTCACAAAAGGCCTGACTGACCCTCACAGTTTCAATAGAATACAACAGTGCTGCCCACATTTCAGCAGATTTGAGCCTTGAACCTAACTAACCAGTCGTGAAGTGAATCAAAACATTACGAACTTTGATCTTCTTTTAATGAAGGAAAGAACTACAGTCTCATGGAGCATTGCAAATGACATAATACTATTAAAAATCAAGAAATATAAAACTACAAATAATATGTATACCAAATACTATAAGTGGTCTAAAAAGTGCAGGAAAACTGACTCTACGTCATTCGCAGTGAATTATAGAAGTGGGTGGGCGCTAAAAAGTTATTTTGGTGCCATGTTCTCGTCACTGTTCTCCTATTGGTGGGGAATTCTCTGCAGAATCATTGGTAATGTAATTTTTCCACCAGGAATTTCACCATCAAACAGGATTACTTGTGATGTAGAAATATGGTCAACAAAAGCTTATGCCATCAATTAACAACCTCGTAGTTCTGTCTGAAACGTTTTTAAGTTATTGTTCAAAATCAATTCCTCTATGAAGTAAATGAATGGGATTGTTGCACTCTACAGAGTTTAATGTTAACATGTTGCTAAGCTAACAGCTTGATACTACTGCAATAAGATCAAAATACATTGCACACAAAAACTGCAAGATAAAGAAATGTCCATTTTAAATTAAGTTAAGCATATTTTTCAGTACTGAATAAATGTATTTAATGGACATCTCCCTCAACTCTTTTCACTAAGCTTGTCGCAGTGCATTAAAGGAAAAGTTCACCCAGAAATGAAAATGTTCATCATTTACCCTCATGTTGTTCCAAACCTGTATGAGTTTCATTCTTATGTTGAACATAAAACAAGATATTTTGAAGAATGCTGGTAATCAAACAATTGATGGTCCCTATTGACTTGGATAGTATTCCTTTCCCTACTATGGAAGTCAGTGGGGAATAACAACTGTTTGGTTCTTCAAAATATCTTCCTTTGTGTTCAACGTAAGAAATAAACTTATACAGGTTTGGAATGACAAGAGGGTCAGTAAATGACACAATTTTCATTTTTGGGTGCATTTTTCCTTTAAGGGACTGCCTTTTCAAGAAACTATACATGCAGTCCTGCCTTACATTTTGGCCAAAAAGATACCATAATTTGCTGCCTAGCTAGTGTCAACAGCAGCCTATGCTTCTGCACTGCTGTGATTCCTAAAAATGCTTCTTATTTGGTTTTTGGGAGAGAGCTTGGATGTGCCACCTGTTTATAAACTCTCTCTTTACCCCCTCAGCCATGCCGCCCACCCCTCAACCCACAGATGATGTGGATGTGTACTTTGAGACCCCAGCAGATGATAAAGAGCACAGCCGTTTCCAGAAGGCCAAGGAGCAACTTGAGATCAGACACCGCAACCGCATGGAGAGGGTGAGTGAGAGGTCACATTTACAGTTTGTAAACACATGTTAGTTGTCATGTGACATAATGGAGTTTTTTTTCCATGTGGCTAGTCAGATTCCCGTCCATTATTTGAGTCCCAAGTGAGTTGCGTATGTTGTTCTTACCAGGTGAGGAAGGAGTGGGAGGAAGCTGAGAGCCAGGCCAGGAACCTACCCAAAGCTGAGAGACAGACACTGATCCAGGTAAACCTCAGCTTCTATGCCAGAGGAAATCTCGTACAAGAGGTGACTGTTATTTATGGGGTCTTCATTATTCTCACTGCAGCACTTCCAGGCTATGGTGGAGTCCTTAGAGGAGGAGGCAGCCAGCGAGAAACAGCAGCTGGTGGAGACTCATCTTGCCCGGGTGGAGGCCATGCTGAACGATCGCCGCCGTCTTGCCCTGGAGAACTACCTAGCCGCTCTGCAGGCTGATCCACCAAGGGTGAGACAACACACAATGACCTAATACACCCCGTTTACAACTGAAATTAACATCCTTATTGGTGGTAAATGCAGGTGTTAAACACTGCTGTCCACAGTCAAAAACATCTTTTAAAATCTACTTCAAAACAAGTTTAAGAAATATACTTATGTTGGTTTCATGTTTTAATATAATAAAATAAAATAAAATAAAATAAAAACTAAACTAAAATATAATATAATATAATAAACTTTTAAAATAGAAATAAATAAACTTTTATATAATTTAAAAATAGATTTAATTTAATTACTTTAAAAATGTCATGTGGTGTAACCATCAGAAAGTAATATAATTTTGTTATACCCTGAATACATATGACTGTACTCATCTTTATTGTTTTTTTTGTTTAAAATATTTTAAGGTGAAAATGTTTTTTAATTCATTAATCATTAATTAATTATTCATTTATAATTCATTTATACATGTCATATTTTTGTACCAAGTGACATTTTACACCCTAACTAACTTTGCCTTGTCAAAGAGGTCAGTTTATCTGATAATTTAAGAGACTTGTTGACACAGTCATGAAGGTCTGCTGGTGTCCTGTTTTTTTCCTGCATGTTGGTTGCACCACATGACTTTGGTTTGACAAGTTCTCCAAATATTATGCAGTATAGCAAGTTTTGTAAAGCTTTTTACTAACAAAATGATTATAAATTATTCTTATTCTATAATAAATAGTTTCTACCAAACCATAAAATGTTTTTCTTTTCCAAAATTTATTTTAAAGAGGCTTTTTTTCCTTCACCATAATGACAGAACAGTTGTATCACGCTGACATTTTTGACTGACTTTGTTAATCATAATGAAATTAAAAACACGCTCATCTAGAAGTGTATTTGAGTCATTGAATGTGTAAATGGCATGTTATGTAATAGATTTATCATGTCATTGAACCACCAATTTCCCTTCAAAAGCTGATCACAAGTAGTCACATGAGATGCATTTGAGATGCATGCTATTCCCAAGTGTGGATGTTATTGTGTTGACCACATGTGATCAAATCACTTGAGATGCATGCAAATACCAGCCCACTGCTTACTTGGAGTGACTTCCAGCATTGACAGATCCCTTCCAGTATATAAATGAGCATGGATCATGTGCGGTCATGTGTGAAATGCATGCTCTGTGAGGGAGTAAAAGAAGTTTGAGAGATAAGTGCTTCCTTGAAGGATTGTTCTCATCTCATAATGACCAGATTACACTTCTCATACTTGAGTCTCTGATGAGCGATGGTTGTCTTGTCTCTCTGCTGTGGGATTTAATGGTGGCGGATTACCTGTCCTCTGTTACCCTGCTGAAAGCTCATAACAGGGAGGGTGGCTTCGGTTACTTAAGATATTAATTTGAATTGTGCACCTATGTAATGTTTAATCCCCTGAAATGACTTGCACGAAGAGAGCCCGAGCCGGACTCGCACAAGCAGGCACGTGCTAATCCTCTTGTTATTTCTCTGTCCTGCGGATCTTGCGGCTCTTTGATCCTAGCGCTGATTCACAGATCAGCCAGCTCATAAGGAGGCGTCTGCCTGACTCACCCTGCCTTTTATTTTCTCTCCTTTGTGGTCAATTTATCTTCTCTCTCTGTCTCTGCAGCCCCACCGTATCCTGCAGGCTCTGAAGAGGTACGTGCGTGCCGAGAATAAGGATCGTCAGCACACCATCCGCCACTACCAGCACGTTCTGGCCGTGGACCCTGAGAAGGCCGCCCAGATGAAGTCCCAAGTCAGTGTCGCCCAATCTGCCTCCCTTTCCTGCTAAATCCCATGTTTTCTATCGTCTTTTCTCACCTTGCAGAGTTTGTCTATTTATAACTGTTTTACTAGCCTTTCGGTACCTGCTTAATAGACCGTAAATGACCCATTTGCAGGATGATTTCACTAAAAGCTCTTAAAAACTGTGGCTGTTTTGCTAAACAGTGGTGATTGAAAACAATCATTGTTGCCTTCTAATTGGTTCATCTTAGAGGCACAGGAATTACACACTTCTTCTTTAAAGGGGTCATATGATGCTGCTAAAAAGAACATTATTTTGTGTATTTGGTGTAATGAAATGTGTTTATGCGGTTTAAAGTTCAAAAAACACATTATTTTCCACATACTGTACATTATTGTTTCTCCTCTATGCCCCGCCTTTTTGAAACGCGTCGATTTTTACAAAGCTCATCGGTCTGAAAAAGCGAGGTGTGCTGTGATTGGCCAGCTATCCAATGCGTTGTGATTGGCCGAATACCTCAAGCGTGAGACGGAAATGTTACGCCCCTCACATGCTGTTGATGCCGTGTCCAGCCGGAGTGACGAGACAACATTAAAACCCATTACAAATGAGGCATTTGTTGCATCCAGTGGGGACATA